TTTCATCTTAGTCACACTGATTTTTGGCTAGTAGTTTTCTGTGCTTTTGAGCTCCTTTTCTTTCTCTTTATTAAATTATTTTAATTGGAGGCTAACTACTTTACAATATTGTAGTGGTTTTTGCCATACTTTGACATGAATTAGCCACGGGCACACATGTGTTCCCCATCCAATACCCGCCTCCCACCTCCCTCCCCATCCATTTCCCAGGGTCATTCCAGTGCACTAGCCCTGAGCATCCTGTCTCATGCATTGAACCTGGACTGGCGGTCTGCTTCACATATGATGATATACATGTTTCAATGCTACCCTCTCAAATCATCCCACCCTCGCCTTCTCCCACAGAGTCCAAAAGACTGTTCTCTACATCTGTGTCTCTTTTGCTACGTTTAATGGTTGTTGGAATGTCCTCTATTGTGCAATGACTGTTTCATTTATATTTACTTATATGCTGGATAACTCATAATTGAATTTTGGGAAAAGTTCATACTCTGAATATGAATCCATTGTCAGAAATATGAATTACCAATATCTCCTTCTATGTGGCTGGCCATTTCATTCTTTGTTGTTTTCTGATGATCAAAATTATTTAATTTTAATGTAGTCAAATTAAGCAATATTTTTTATAGCAAAACCCTGGTATATCCTATATGTTTGGCTCAGCCCAAACATATAATGCACTGATAAATTAAGCATGTGGAAAGCTAGTTTGTTATGTCTAGCCAATTAATAAAAAACTGAAGTACACACAAAAATACAATCACAATTGTAATTTTTATTGATAGAGGATGAGATGGTTGGACAGCATCACCGACTCAGTGGACATGAGTTTGAGTAAACTCCAGGAGTTGGTGATGGACAGGAAGGCCTGGCATGCTTCAGTCCATGGAGTCAGAAAGAGTCGGACAGGACTGAGTGACTGAACTGACAGTTGAATTACAATGTTTTAGGTATACAGAAAAGGGATTCAGCTAAACACATGTTGTTGTTTAGTCACTAACTCATTTCCGACTCCTTGAGACCCCATGGACTGCAGTCCTCCAGGACCCTCTGTCCATGGGATTCCCCAGGCAAAGACACTGGAGTGGATTGTCATTTCCTTCTCCAGCTAGACATATACACACCTTCTTTTCAGATTCTTTTCCATTCTAGATTGTTATAAGATTTGAATATAATTCCCTGTGCTATACACTAGGTCTTCATTGTTTATCTATTTCATATATGGTAGTGTGTATATGTTATTCTCATACTCTTAATTTATGCCTCCCCACTTCCTGAACTTTGATAACCATAGTTCATTTTCTATGTCAGTGAGTCTATTTCTATGCCTGTGAGTCTGTTTCATAAATAAGTTCATTTGTATCATTTTTTAGATTCCACATATAAATGATGTCATATGAGATTTGTCTTTGTCTGGCTTACTTCACTTAGTATGATAATCTCTACGTCCATCCATTTGCTACAAATGGCATTATTTCATTCTTTTTTATGGCTGAGTGATATTCCATTGCATATACATATGTGTGTATATGTGCATATACATATATATATGTATGTATATGTGTGTGTGTGTATATATATATATATACACATACACACACAGATGAATGGACACTTAATGTTGCTTCCATGTCTTGGATATTGCAAGTAAAGCTACTATGAACACTGGGGTGTATGTATCTTTCTAAATTAGAGTTTTCATCTTTTCCAGATATGCGTCCAGTGGGATTGCTGGATCATATGGTAGCTCTACTTTCAGTTTTTTTTTTGTAAGTAATCTCCATACTGTTCTCCATAGTGGCTGTGCCAATTTACCTTCCCACCAACAGTGTAGGAGGGTCCCCTTTTCTCCACACCCTCCCAAGTTGCTTTATTATATGTAGACATTTTGATGATGGCCATTCTGACTGAAGTGAGGTCTTGTAGTTTTGATTTGCATTTCTTAATTATTAGTGATGTTGAGCATCATTTCATGTGCCTGTTGGCCATCTATATGTCTTCTTTAGAGAAATGTCTATTTATGTCTTCTGCCCACTTTTTTGATTGGGTTATTTGGGTTTTTTGTTTTTTTTTAATACAAAGCTGAATAAGTTGTTTGCATAATTTGGAAATTGAGTCCTTGTCTGTTGCATCATTTGCAAATATTTTCTTTAGAAAACCCAGCAACACTGACTGGAATGGATTTAGAAGAAGGAGACTTACTATAGGCAGATCAATAAGAAATTATGGCAATCACTTATGTGAGACATAATATGCCTACAAACTAAAGCAGTAGCAGGATTATGTGGAGAAAAAAATAAATTCCAGAAAATTTTAGATAATTAAATTAATACAACTTGGTGCTGAGTAAGGAAAAAGAGAAATCATGAATTAATGGTAAGTATCTGGTTTGGGTAACTAAACAGCAGGATCAGTAAGACCAGGGACTGTATTTTGTAGAGTAGATTTGACGACAGTTAGTTCAACGTAGGCCATGCTGAGTTTTGAATACTTGTGAGATGTATATGAAATATAGATATGGGTAATTTCCTTCTTTCTGCTGTTCCTCATTTTTAATTAAAATATAATTAACATATATTAAATTGGTAATAAGATCAAAGAAGCAATAAAAATATATCTGCTTCATTTCTCTACCCACTCATATAGCAGAATATGAAAATGAATGATAGCTCACTGACCAAAAATTCTGCGGCTCAGCTGTCACTCCTGGTGCCCACGTGCCACACGTTACTCAGATCTCTGTGGCTGATCAGACTCAGGATCCATGATCCAGCAACAAGTCCTATTCCCATGCAGTGTTTGAGGCTCAGTTACCAGTACATCCTGGTTAATTTCATCTACGGGGCTAACTGTGGCTTCATTCTTCTGTTTCTAGTCTACTCTGTTGCTGAGTCAACGTTCTCAAGTTTCTTCTAGGTCTGTGGCCTTTCCATGATATCTGTTCCCAAGGCTGATTTTCAGTACTGTTCTTATCAGTTCTCTCCTCTGGGGATTAGGGTTCTTTCTCTTATGTACGGACCTTTCTGAAGTTAAAATATTTATTTATATATGAATCCCTTGCTATTTTCCCCTGCCTACTAGTAACAAACACCAATAGAGAATATTCAGTGTCTTTTACATATAACTTATGTTACTAGTTTATGTTACTTGCTTGTATCCTTTTTGTTGTTGTTGTTTACTCTCTAAGTTGTGTCTCACTCTTCTGGGCATTTTGGTTTACTAGTCCATTAAAACCAATACCAAAAGAAAAAAAAAAGAACTATGGAGAGTAGACTATAGATTTAAATTGAGAGAAAACTTCCTGGCATTATTAGCATATGAGCCGTTCAGCTAATGCTGCTACATTCAGCAAAAACAGTTTTCCTGATGTAGCCACATAGAGGGAAAATTCAATTTCAATTTGTTCTTGGAAAATGATCAACCTCAAGAGAAAACACTAATTTATCATTGCAATAAAAACAAACGTATTTCCTGACACTTGGAAAAGCACTAAAAAAGAGGGGAAAATGAGATAATTAGAAGATCTCACCTAAATTTATAACAGTACTTTGGTGAAAAGTGTTGAGGGAAACTTATAGTGTTTTCATTTTAGGATTATAAAACCTTGTTTAAGATGTTACACAGTAGGTATGTTACCATTAAAATCTTGGAAGGGATGAGACCCTGGATTCTCCCTACACTTCACATATCACCTCATTCTACCCCCTACCACATACAGAACAAAATAATATCCTGTGATTTCAACATCACATAAGATCCCAACAGCTTGACCCTAGAGGCACGTGAACTAGGCAGCCAGAGACTCTGTGCAGGCCATGTCTGCCCAGTTGTGGACGTGTCGCCTGCTACCCTAATGGTGAGCAGTCTTGCCAGTGCAAACTAACTCACACTCTTAAGAAACAAAATCAAACTCTAAAATTCTTCTACAGAGAATTTTTAGGCCTGAGGATACAATTTACCATTGATTGTAATATAGTAAGAGACATTGCAAATGAGAGTTTAGGCCAGCTGAGCTAGCAATACTCTTTTTTTTTTAATTTTTTTTTATTAGTTGGAGGCTAATTACTTTACAATATTGTAGTGGTTCTTGTCATACATTGACATGAATCAGCCATGGATATACATGTATTCCCCATCCCGGTCCCCCCTCCCACCTCCCTCTCCACCCGATCCCTCTGGGTCTTCCCAGTGCACCAGGTCCGAGCACTTGTCTCATGCATCCAACCTGGGCTGCTGATCTGTTTCACCCTAGATAATATACATGTTTCGATGCTGTTCTCTTGAAACATCCCACCTTCGCCTTCTCCCACAGAGTCCAAAAGTCTGTTCTATACATCTGTGTCTCTTTTTCTGTTTTGCATATAGGGTTATCGTTACCATCTTTCTAAATTCCATATATATGTGTTAGTATACTGTAATGGTCTTTATCTTTCTGGCTTTCTTAATACTCTTTCTTAAGAGTATTTCCTACTCCCAACTTTTACTTCCTTAAATTCAGCATGTTGATTCTTTACTCATAAGTTTCAATTGGCAGTCACAAGAACTTTGAGAGAAAAGAGGTTTTTCGCCTTCTCCTTTAACCCAACTGACAGGCTTCCATGTGCCTTCTCAGAAAACAGCCTCCACCTCTTACAGGAAGCACTTCCAGCCAATGCTCCCCTCTGGGTCTCATAACAAAGCCAGCAACACAGCCCAGGCTGTTCCGCTCTCAAGGGTCTTTCAGTAGTTCAGTCTTGCTGAAAGGCAGTGTCTGCCATCTAACCTTTGTATTGCATATCTACAAAGGTGAGATGAAGGAACAGAGGGTGGGCAGAGCTGACCACTCGGTCCAGAGAAGGAATAGAGAGACAAAAACAGAGTCTGGGATTCAAAGAGCCTAAACACTGTTTGGTTTGGACTTCAAACATGGCACCTCATCAACAGGAAATGTCAGCTTATTAAAGACTTCACATGGCATCATCAGACGACAGCCATCAGACCCCTTGGCAAGGTTCCCAAGATCACACTGAGGGGAGAAAAACAATATGAACCAGTATGAATGTCTAGAGTTCCTTTCTAAGACATAGAGTTTACTAGGCTGGCTGATTTGGCAGGCTGTTAACAGAACTAACTTGATTGCTTTGGCAAGGGTAAGAGGATAGAGAAAGAGATCACCCAGCTCTGATGCCAGCTATGAATTCCAATGATTATCCTGCATGCTGCTGACCTGATGTCATTCAAGAGATGTAGGTGGCTCAGACTGGTGATTGTAGAAACATCACCAAAAGCAAACACTGCTGACTGAAGTTGCCATTTATAGGTGGAAGGAAAATGCCTTTTGTGTCTGAGGCAGGTGAGAGTCACTCCCAGGCCTATTACTTTCGGGGTTGAATTTCTAAAAAGCAAGCATTTACATGGGTGCTTGCCACACCCATGAATGTGCCACTTGTTTTATCCTCACAGTTATCAGTTTGCTCTTGAAACTGCTGGTTAAAAATCTTTCTTGTTGGGGGATAGATCCTACTCCTCTAAAACTCAAAGTATGTTAAACTATTTGTTGCATTAACAGAACTTCAGTTTCTTCTTGTCCAGGGAGGAAAGAAAGACACTCACCTCTGGTACTAGTTACATGGCACGATGGTTTTTCATCCCCTGGAAAAGAACAGGAAGGAGAGACACGTTTATAAGCCTCATGAAGCTCTCTATTGACTAAGTTTGTGCTTTTGTTTCCCTCGGCACACCTGATCAGCTTCACTAACCAGTTTTTACAGCCTCTGAAGTTGTGTTGCTATTGAAACTTGTAGCTGAATATAAAGGAACAAACAGAAAGCAACATAGTCTGTCTTCACTAAGGTTTGTAGGATACACCCCAAACGACTTCCCCTCTCACTGCAAAATGCCTATGTCACTGAGGCAGCAGACACACAGATTCATTCAGCATTGAAGACCTTGCCTTTGGCTCCAAAATCCCTGCCAGCATCCTTTATTCTTCTTGGCATCTATCCCTTTAAATCACACCATCTTTGGAAAGCCAGGCCAGGCAGATTTAGTCATAGAGAAAGCCCACAGGGGTCTCCTTGAGATGGGGAGAAGAAAAGGGTGTCTGTGACTAAGCAGAGACATTTGGCCTCATTCATCCCAGGTGCCTGCAAATTTTTCTCACACCTGGTGAAATGTAGTGAACCATGGGTGACAGTGAATGCCTCAAAGAGGCTCAATTCTGCAGAGCTTCAGTTATTTCTTCAAGAGGTATCCTAGATTCTAGACCACACTTGAAAATAGAGTCTGTTTCTCCAAGGGAAATGTATTTCCTTTATTTAATACATACCACCTGCCTCAAGTTACTTTCTCACTGCTATAAAGATGGTTACCCACTCTAATATTCCTCAAATACCCCTACTCCTTATTTGTTTATATAGAATGGATGGTAAGTTAAGAATCTAGGATATAATAAAATAAAATAGGTGATTTATTTGATGATTTGAGTCAAACTGCTGTTCATTTCAGCCTGCAGTATGTATGTAATTCACACTACATGTGCAAGTCACTACATAGAGTAAGAAGGAAAATAAGAAATGCATAAGTTTCCAGGCATTAGTTAAAGAAAAAACATATTTTCTCTTAATAGACCAAACTTCTAAAGGTTAAAACTGGAATTTTTTCATCATTTGGCAGGATTCATATATTAGTACATAAACCAAAACTTGGAATCGTAACAGAAACCATCTTTTAATAATTTAATCTGAAAAGAAATTAAAGTGCATTGGATAGCTCACACAACTTCTAGAAAGGCCAGATAATTAGGTTTGGAGGCTGTGCAAAGCCCAAAACTACAGTGCAGAACTGTTCAGTGAGGCAGCCTCTACCACCATCAGTGAGCACACCCTGGTACTGTCATTAGAACTTTAGCTACTTCTATTGACCCTGGAGATTAAAGGCTCCCCTCTTCCCACAGCAAAATGAACTGTATGTGGCATCTACACCTTTCAGTCATTTGATCCTAAATCAAAATCTGGGGTAAGAATATCTGGCTGACAGATCCTCATTCACATGCAGACACTCTAGCTGTACAAAAGGCTGGGAAAGCCTGCGGACCACATTTACATCTCTAAACCGAGAGATGCACATTGCCAAAATTCACGGGTAGAAAGAGAATAATTATTCGACAACAAATTAGTGGCTTTGCTCCAAAATCTAACGGTCTCTCAGGGCTTGTTGCCAACTCCATGGAGATCCTTTTCTGCCACAGACATGATGGTAATACCAATTCCCCAAGACATGAGAAGCATGAACAGCTAGATCCAGGTAGGAAAACCTCTCTCACGCTGAGCTTGACTGAAAGCTGGTAGCTCTGGCAACAATCCAGTAGACAAGTCAGAGAAATTCACCCAAAAGAGTTGTATGTCTCCTCCAAAATCTAAAGATGTTATCCAAACATTGCTTCTTTCTTAATGGTACAGGGATAAGGTGCGGCAACCCACACTTAACTGTAAAAAGTCCACACCACTGGATCAGTATTTCCGTTTTTTCCCTTTTGCCTAGGTTTCTAATATGCTCAGTATGGTATTATTATGACTCCTGCCTTTCTCTAAGGTAGGATACTTTATTCACCATGGGTTATTTTGCATTAATGATGCTTTTTTAATTTTTACGTTAAAATATTTTCTACCTTGATGACTGAGTTTTTTAGTGTCCCCTAAATTGTGTGTCCTTAAAGAGTACCTCACTAAAACTGGGCCTGCTTTATGTCCATTCTCAGGAGTAGTCAACTTCCCTGTTTCCAAGAGCTCTGTTACATTAAGGGAGATGGATACAACACGCACTTTGAAGAATATAAAGATATGGGTAGGGGTATGCACACATGAAATAGGATGGCTGGATGGCTTCAGAGAAAGGGTAACATTTGAGGAAAGATATGAAAAAGAGAAGAGGAGCCTGTATTTGTGTTTACACAGGTTAGTTAGATTTTAGAGGGCTACTTATTGATGTGGACTTAGAAACCGGATGATGGGGTATCATCACCAAATATCTCTCAAGGTCAGAGATTTGTATTATCATCCAGTCATGCAGCCTATCAAGATACACTTCCCCCCTTACCTCAGTAACTAAAGTCTCTGCCCCAATAGTCAGCCTCTGACACTCTGGGATTCTGGTCTCCCCACTGAAATTTGGTACCAAATTTACACAGAAACTCCCACCACCATCTCTAGCCAACATAAAATACCCATGCCCATCGTTTCCAGAATGCCTTGAGGGCCAATTACATAGTCAAACTTGAGAACAGAGGGTTTATATATCCAAAAATAACTGCCAAATTTTGTAATTTCATATATATATACATATATATGTACATATGTATGTATGTATATAATCTGGAGGATGCACATGGGAATAGATTATCAGGGAACTAAACCAAATAGGGAATAACATAATCTCAAACTGAGTTGAGTTTATCAATACACATATGTATTTACTAGAGAGTCTGAATTCAATATGCAAACTCAAGCAGTTGAGTGGTTCCAATTTAGTTGCCTGACTGTTTTTGATAAAACCTGGACTCAATATTGATCTTAACTACAAAGAATGGTGATATCAAAAATTCTTTGGAATAGTGTAAGGAAAAAAAATCCTAGAACATGTAGGGTATTCTACCCATTGGAGTATATTTATCCCATGTAGTCTGTCTACCAACCACTAACCCTTCAAGAATTTGCTGAAGACTATCCTTAAGACACTGAGAAATTAGTTTTTGAAAGACACTGATATTTTGTTTTATATATTCATATTATGTGGATATTTTCAACACAGGTTTGAATAGAAATACTATTGCCTGAAGGGTGTTCTTGGTTCCAAAACTATATTCAAGTAGAAACTAGACATAACTATCATACGGCAAAATATGTCCCAGTTCACAACTGATGTGGGAAAAAATTCAATATGGAAAGTTAACTCTCTCACTTTAAGAACTGGTAAAGTTTCTCCTAATAACTTGTACCTTAATGCTTTTACTAAAGACAAAAAGCTTAATTTATTTTCATTTTATGAAACATTATAAATTGAAGGAATTTCTCTTGCAATGAGTGTATTTATCTGTTCAGAAGGAACTAGTTGCTGACTAAATGATCAGCCTTCAATTCTAGGAAAACAATATCTGTTTTACAGAACAAAAATTTAAACTCTAAAATAAATTCTAAATGAATATGTCAGAACACTCATGAAGTTTAAAAAAAAATCAGTTTTCTGATAGACATACATTTTTTGAATCTGTCTTGAATCAGAGATATTTCACTTCTGTGACAGTTGTTACAAGAATTCACTATTGGAATGGCCCCTTAACACATCAATACTCCAGAACTCACCACTTTATAAACAGTTTCCGTATGGCTCAACGGATTAAGAATCCGCCTGCAGCGCAGGCGATACAGGAGATGCCGGTTTGATCCCTCTGTTGAGAATATCCCCTGGAGGAGGAAGTGGCAACCCACTCCAAGGTTCTTGCCTGAAAAAAATCCCATGAACAGAGGAGCCTGGCAGGTTACAGTAGCAGAGTTGGACATGACTTAATGAGTAAGCACGTACTTTAAAAGCTGAGGCTAGACTGGACCTAAAGTCTTCATCACCTTCAAGGCTTTTGCCACAATGGTGAATTATGGGTTTATTGGGCTTACCTTAGTTTTTACCTTTTCATTTTTCTCTTATGCATTACCATATTTCTCCTATTATTTGCAATAATATTCTTTGATCAGGTTTTTTTTTTCCCTAGTTCTGCAGGCATAATCACTGTTCGGTATGTCATTATTACGTTTTCCCTTGACCATTAAAGGAACGTTCTACATAGTATGTTATCCTCATTTTTTTCCTGCCTGTACAGAATTTTCTCCAAAAGTATTTCCTATCACCTCCTCCTTGAAATTTACCTTGCAGCTAATAGCTGTACTTTACCGTCAGGCAATTAAATTGAATCCCTCGGTCGGATCTTCAAGGAAATTCAAGAACGTATTCTCTTTCTTATTTAAGAAGAGAAAAGAACTTCCCACTTTTTGATCAAGACATGCCTGGTGGAGAAGGGCTCCCCGAAGACGTGCCTGGCCGGCCCCAGGTCACTTCCGGTCCTGGGAACACAGCCCCCGCCCACCCTCTGAACCCTGGAGGGGCCGGGTCCCCAAGTCCTCAGCGAGAAGCAGCCAATGGCCAACTGGCTGATGGTTTAAGCAGTGGGCCCATCAGCCCAGAATTTGACTCCTCTGATGAAGCCACCCGGACCAAGGCAGCCGAGGAAGAGACCCAATGCCAAAAGGCGAGGCCAGAAAAGACCCCAGGAGGCAGATGAGACTTCTGGGACCCTTTTTCAAGGGCCGACAAACTGGACTGGGACACGCTGGATGACCCAAACCAACCCATTCGAAGGTGGCAGAGCAGCCGGGCCCCCAAAGAGGGGCGGCCTGGCCGTGGCGGAGGAACGAAACTCTGGGCCTGTGGCCTCAGAGACTCACCTGTGAGGAAATAGCTCTGGCTTAGCCTCAGCGGATGGACATGACTCAGTGGTAAGACCACGTTCTGCACCGCAGGGGCGGCGGGCGAGCAGGGAAACCGAATGCATGGGCTGCGCTTGCTCTCACCGCAGTCACATCTGATATGCCCCGCTTGACCCAGGAGCACCTCCAAGACCCAGCCGAATGCTGGCTTCCGGCCAACCTGGACTTTCTGGAGCAGTTTGTGACTCCCTCGTTTAAGAATTAACCTGAGGAAACTGTCCTTATACCTCCAGCTTGACCACTCCTGAAGAGCAGCCATGAGAGATCGGCCAGCTGGCGCCGAAGCCCACCTCTCGCGAGACCCAGAGGCATCTTCCTTACAAGGCCCACCTGCGGGGGGCTGGGACTTGACCTCCTTGGAGCCCCAACTGGTCCCGCATGTCCTTTGCCGCGTGGAGGACCTGGAGGCGGGGAAGATCATGGCGGGTTCAAGCGGATCACGCACCAGGCAGTGAGAAAACCCAGCAAAGCTGAGATGTAGAAGGTCCTGAAAGAGGCCTGAACTCCACGAGAGAATCTTTCTCTGACCTCTTCAAGCTGTTTGAGAAATAGAATGTGGTGATCAAAGGTTAGTGCATGCATGAGACTCTCTGAAGACTAGTGTTGAGAATTTCATTGTATAAATTGAATAGGTATCGAGCGCTGAAGACCGCAAAAGAGAAACTCAGGGTGTCAGAGGAGGAGATGACCTGGGTTCAGAGCTGTGTGGAGGCCTTGGTTTTTCAGGCCATCCTGGAGAAGGAGCTGATGTGCATGTGGCTGGAGAAGACAACTAAGCAGAAGAATAGAGAAAACGGTGAATGGCCCAAAAGCCATGATAACCTCGTTTCCAAGGTGGAGATCACCTGACTTGTAAGTCACTGACCAATGCCTGTCCTCCCTCCTGTCTGTCTGAGTCTTTGAGTGTTACAGGGTCTCGTGTTCTTCTTTCTGTTTTAACTTCAACCCTTTTTTAAACTAGATGACTTTAAAAGGAAGGTTCAACACAGTTAAGTTACAGAAGGAAAAAAATGTGCCTGACATTTCTTACGGTGCTTCTGAGTTTGTGACTGTTCACTTTCCTGTTCTCCCTTACCTCTACCAGAAACAGAATTTTTTCTTGACTTGAATCTGCTTGCATTGCTTTCCTCTTTCTGACTCTATTCTCTGTGTTCTCCTGTGTGCGGTGTGTATTCTGTCCCATGATATGCCCACAAACGTGGAAGCTTAACTAGGTCTTTTCTGTATGTGTTCACTGTCTTCCATACAACATTGTCACATTCTAAGAACAGATGTCTCCTATTTGTTTTTAATACTCTCAATGTGTTTAAAATAGAGAAATCAAAATTCTCTGCAGTACCTCAGAAATCATTAATTCTAGAATTTAACATAAAATCCATGGACCCCAGAGAATAAATGGACAGCCTTCAGAAAATTCATAACCCACCCCCCCACCACACACACACAGGGTTGTATTATACACCAAAAAATGTTAAAAATCACTGATCTGTTCTAGCACCAATAACTTTACAAGTGAAAAAACCAAAATCCAAGGTCAGAGACCTAACTTACTTGAAGAGAATAGACTTTTTGAACCCTGGTTTCTTTCAACTTCTGAACTCAATTTCACATACTCTTGGGGGTGTACAATTCCATGAAAGATCTTCAAAATCCATTACCCTGCCTGTAGGCAGAATTTGTCATAAAGATCTCAGCAGATGCAACCCAGGATACTATGAAAGATCTCCTAGGAAAGGAATTTCATAATTTCCTTCAGTTTACTTTCACACAAATATAAAGTCAGTCGCTTAGAACAACCACTGTGTTATTTTACTTCTCTTTCCTACATCCTGAAAACACACCTACACGTACACCCTAGGACTTCCTGTTTAGGAAGAGATCAAGTAAAAGTGTAATTTACCTTACTTACACTCTCTACTAAATATTATTTTAACCATAATTATATTTGAATATGGAAATTAAACAGAAACAATATCAAATTAGTTAATATGTTTTTGTTACATAAAAACTCAGGTTGATAAACTCACAAACCACAATAACGCACAAATCCTTAAGCCAAAGAAACAGCTGTCTGTGCTGTTAGCATGTTTATTATGTATTTGTGGAGTTGGGATTGAAAATGGAAATCCCTGCCCTGGCATGTACTTGTGGAGTAAGAGCAATAGGACAATTTCTGGGCAAACTACAGTATACCTAAGCCATCTTGGGGCTACACAAGACCTCTCATAGGATCGTTAGGAACAAAACATGGTTTTTCTTCCTCAAGTGCAAACGCCTCCCCTAGTGTCCAGAAATTCCCACCCTTTTCTCATAATCCTTGAGGGACTTTGCTGTTACTATGCCACAAAGGGTAGGATTTTGAGTGATTTACACTTCCTAAGTTCAAGTGAAACTATTTCAAATCATTCTTTTTTTTTTTTCCATTTCCAAACATCTGTGACAGAAACAATAGAAAGATTGAACATACTGAATAGGAGTTGAACTCAATCTCCCACAGCATGATTCCTCAAAATAATAGTGTAGATTTATTTATGTACAGAATCACAGGAGTTGAGTTTAAAAGTAGCAAGCTAATTTTGCTTTTTTTTCAGCCTAAATTATTATTGATATTATTCAGGGGAAAATGAACTGATCAAACAAGTGATGATACCAATGCACAGGGCCATAGTGAAAGAACAGACAGTTTAGCAAGTGGAGAAATAAGAATTTAAGGAGATGGATCAAACAAATCCAAGCTACTGCTAGGAAACCATCCAGATGATGGTTTAAGAATTTCAGAGTTCAAAAGGAGACTTCAAACCATACCTGTAACAACTTTGGGAAAGAATATTGAGCAAGCTGACAGAGAGGATTGCTTCAGTGTAAGTGTGAGACCTAGAAGTTGAATCAGAGACTTGGCTGGAAATAAAATCACATTTCCCTTCGGAAGGTTTCATATACAGGGAAAAAGATGTGTACATAAAAATAAAGTGTGCTATTCCTTTCCAAAGGAAGACTCTGCAAGAACTCTGCCTCTGCCTTCCTGAGGTCCTAACTTCCCAAAGAGATTTTTCAAGGTTTGCACTGTTGCACTTTGGAAGATTGTTTGTACTCTGAAACATCATGAATGAGTGCTGCCCAAGAGTTGAAGAGTGGTTAGTCAAAGGTTGCTGCTTTTTTTCTCAGGATTCCTTCCTTGTTGGGGGTTCAAAAAAGGCCATTTTCCTCTTTTTCAGAGACACTGTATTAGAACCACTGTGAAGTGGTTGCCTGAACATTCTTGGCATAAGAATTATACTTCTTTTTGCCAGTTGTGTTTTCATCATTTCAAAGTGTCTTTTGGTCTGAAAAGGGAGATGGAGAAATCTCATATGAAGAGGCCATCTGTGTTTAGATTATACTTTCTAGTTCTTGTGGTACATGGGGTAAGGAGTGTTTTTCTAAAAGAAAGGCAAAAGGCATTATGGTTTCTTCATCAGGCATCAGTCCTTTACCAAATTACATAGAAAATTGGTAGCAAAGGGAGGAATGCTAGAAGTGGGAATTGGGAAGAGAACCGTTTTAGCATGTTGGCAAAGATATGTATACGTCAAAACAGAAAGCATTGTTTTCTCAGATTTGAAAGATAAAGGTTGTTCAACATTAAAGCTCGATTCGTCCTTGAAATTTCTCAGAATAATTTTTGCAGTCCATTTTTTATTGAAGCATACTTGACATAAACATTAATTTCAGGTGTAAAAAATAATTATTTGCTGTTTGTGTATATTGCAAAACTTATCTAGTTGATATAAATCTAGTTAACATCTATCACCATGCATAGTTACAGAATTTTTTCCTTGTGATAAGAACTTTTAAGATCTACTCTCTTAGCAACTTTCAAATATGCAGTACAGTATTATTAACTCTAGTCATCATGCTGTACATTACATTGCCATGACTTATTTATTTTATAACTGAAAGTTTATTCGTTTTGAATGCCTTTACCCATTTTGCCCTTCAACAATCTGTTCTTTGTATGTATAAGTTACCATAATTCCCTGAAGAGTTCTTCATGTTGTTACAAATGGCTAGATTTCATTCTTTCCTTTAAAAGTGAAAGTGAGGTCACTCAGTCATGTTCAACTCTTTGCGACCCTATGGACTGTAGCCTGCAAGGGTCCTCCGTCCATAGGATTCTCCAGGCAGGAATACTGGAATGGGTTGCCATTCCCTTCTCCAGGGGATCTTCCCGACCCAAGGATCAAACTGGGGTCTCCCACACTGCAGGCAGACTCACTCTTTATCATCTGAACCACCAGAAAACTGCCGACCAATGCACTCTTTTCTATGGCTATTACATTGAATGAATGGTATTACATTGTTTATATAGATACTACATCTTCTTTATTCATTTATCCTTATGTGGACACTTGGATTTTTTCCATATCTTTGATTTGTAAATAATGAGGCAGTGAAAATGGGGTACATATATCTTTTTGAGTTGGTATTTTCCATTTCTTCAGATAAATATACAGAAGCAAAATTGCGGTAGCATATGGTAGGTCCATTTGTAATGTCTGAGTAACCTCCATACTGTTCTCCATACAAGCTGCACCAATTTACTTTCCATGTGTAGTGGCACAAAGGTTCCATTTTCTCTACATCCCCACCAACACTGGTTATTTCTTCTTTTTTCTTTCAGTAGTCATTCTGAAATGAATGAGGTATGAGGTGATAGCTCATTGTGGTTTTGATTTACATTTCCTTAATAATGATCTTGAACATCTTTTCATGTACCTGTTGTTCATTTGAATGTCTTCTTTGGAAAAATGTCTGTTCAGATCCTCTGCCTGTTTTTTAATCAAATTGTTGTGTTGTTGGTGGTGGGTTTTTTTCTGTAAAGTTATATGATTTCTTTATATATTTGGCATGATGCTCATGCTTAGTCGCTCAGTCATGTCCAACTCTGTGAACCCATGAACTACAGCCTACCAGGCTCCTCTGTCCATGAAATTTTCCAGGCAAGAATACTGGAGTGGGTTGCCATTTCCTACTCCAGGGTCTCTTCCTCGCCCATGGATCGAACCTGCATTTCCTGTGTCTTGTGCATTGGCAGGTGAATTCTTTACCACAGCAGTACCTAGTAAGTTCCCATATATTTTGGATATTAACTCCTTATAAGACGTGATTTGTAAATACTTTCTTCCAGTCAGTAGGTTGCCTTTCCATTTTGTTGATGATTTCACCTTGTAATCTTTATTACTACATGTGCATCACTTCTCTCATAATAAGATTTTCTTGTTAAATTTTAGTAGAATAGGTAGCATGCAGTGGACCAATAAAACCTTAAAACCTAAGAGCACACTGTCTAATGAAGTTGACTTCCCTAAGCCATTTATACACTTGGAAAAAAGAAAATGATTTAACAATTTTTGCACAAACTGAAACTTTCTATATTCCATT